CTTTGCCGATGTTCCTCTTCACTTTGTATACTAATTTCCTACTTCCTTTATTATCGCCATATTTATCTCTGGCATCATTATCACTCTTAGTTTTATAATTAAAAACGTCATCATTGTTATCATCATCCTTATCGGTCGTGATGTCATTTCCAGTGTTATCATTATTAACATCGTCATCGTCATCATCATCATCATCATCATCATCGAAAATGGCGACGCCAATTTTATTATTTTTATTAAAATTAATGTTATTACTGTTATTAGATTTATCATTATCATACTTTTCACTATCATCATCATCATCATCGTCATCGTCGTCGTCGTCGTCGTCATCATCATCATCATCATCATCATCATCATCATCATCATCATCATTCTTGCATCTATGATCGTCTGTCAGCCGGTTTTTAATGTCAAGATGTTTGTGACGGTTAACTATTTTGTGACCTGACGATGATGATGGCCACGACGACGACGACGATGATGACGACTGTGGTAATGTAGTAGTTAATGATGATGAAACTGAAGATGACGATGAAGATGATAACATGGGTGACGATTGTGGTACTGATGACGATTGTGTTTGTTGAGTTGGTGATGATAAAACCGTTTCATTTATATATAATAATGATGATGAAGAAGATGATGACAACGATGATGATAGCGATGATGATGATGATGATGGTGATAATGATGATGATGATGATGGCGATAATGATGATGGCAAAAGTGTTGAAGCTTGTGTTTGAGAATTAGCATGCTTATTATTATAATGACTATTCAAATATGTTGTTGTTGATGTCATTATTGCTGATGTTGTTGTTGTCGTTGTTGTGTTTTTGAGGTTGTACTGATACGTTGGTGTGAATAAAATGAAGAAAAGAAGCATAAATGACGTCACTGTTATGTTTTTAAATTCGTTTACGCGTTTTGTGGTTGTTCTTGTTGTGAATGATGTCATCATTGTTGCTGATTTGTTTACTGGTGTTTGTTTTAAGCGTTGTGTTTTTGTTGTTTTTGTTGATGCTGTTGTTGTTGTTGATGTTTCAGCTGATGTTGATGTTTTGGATAATGTTTTTATCGTTGTCGTTGTTGAGTAATTTAATAATTGTTTATTCAATGTTGTTGAAGTTGTTGTTAGAGTTGATTTTTGTTGTGCTAATTTTATTGGTGTTGTTGCTAATGGTGTTGGTAATTTTAGTTTATGTACGGTAGTTTTGGTGGTGGTTAAATTTTTGTCAGCTTTTTCTATTTTAGGACATCTCAAGTTATTGCCAACTGACGATCTAAGCACGTTTTTCGAGTCATCATTCAATTTGCAATAAAAACTTTCCGCCTTATTCGGGCAGACTTCTTTGAAACCTGTGACCTCTTTTGTTCTGCTGAAACTGATTTCATTAAAACTGTTGTTGCTGTTGTTGTTGCTGTTGTTGTTGTTGCTGTTTGTAACGTCGTTGTGGTTGTTATTTAAAACGTTGTTGTTGTTGTCTACTGAAATGATGTTTATGTTTTTGTTGTCGGCGAGAGAATGTTTGTTTGTATTTTTGCTGTTGTTAATATTGTTTAGAAAATGTCCGTTTATATTTGCTGTGCAGTTTATGATTTGTATGTTTTTGAAATCGTTGGTAACACTGTTTTTGTTTATCCTTAGGTTGTCGTTGTTGTTGTTTAACAGTGTCACAGTGTTTATAGATTCGTTTATGAATTTCGTCAAACAGACAGTATATATCGCGGTTTGAGTTGACGTTTGTCTGTTATTGTTATTTATATTTTCACCATCCTCATGGACAACATCGTAAAAAATATAATAACTTGTTACGTCATCTTTGTTATCAGTGACATCATCGTAGTCATCGTCATCGTCCTCATCACCATGGTTGTTCATGATGTCATCATTGTGATGGGTGAGGAACGTTTTGTTGTGTACTGCTTCGTTTCGTTGCCGGCGATTGACGCGCTGTGGTTTGTGCGTTTTGTTGATGCTAACAAATAAGCTGAATGGTTGTAGTAGCTGTGGCTGTTGTAGTTGTGGTTTTTGTAGTTGTGGCTGTTGTAGTTGTGGTTTTTGTAGTTGTGGTTGTTGTAGTTGTGGTTGTTGTAGCTCTGTGTAGCAGTGATTGTAATAATGCAGTTGGTGGTGGTTTTGATGTAGGTAATGACAGTGTTGTGTTTGTTTTGACTGTTTTAGGTACCGCCTATGCTGTTGTTTTTGTCCGTGTTTATGTTCAGTTTCCTGTTTACATTCAAGTTTTATTTGATGTAGTTGCTGGTGACATTTGTAATGTTGTTGTTTTTGATGTTGTGAACGTTTTGAGTTGAGATGTTGTTGTCGGTGTCGTTGCAAATAATTAACTGCCTGATTGTAATGGAATTCATGGGAAACTATTGAAAGTATGCGAGAAGATGCAGATGGTGGTGATGATGAAAATGATGACTTTGCTAATGAGGATGATGAGGAGGAGGAAGACGATAATGAGGAGGAAGACGATGACGACGATGCTGATAATGGAAAGAATGATAGCAAATAAAAATCTGCAGTCGGCACTGATGATATCATTAACGATGACGAAGATAATGATGATAGTGACTCAAGAAATATA